CAAAACATCGAGAGGCACAACTATTCAGAAATGTCCTTCAGTGCAGGTTGAAGCGGGGAGGAGGCAAGGGTTTGTGGCTGGGTGGGCGGTGCTGAGCTCCATGCAGACAAGCGTTCAGCCAGAGGGTGGCACTGGGGCTTGGTCCTTGGGGCCGTCCCTCTGGAATAAGGAGGGCTGTGGGCAAGGGTCTGTGAGCCATGCTGAAATTTTAGCCAGGGCTCAGTGAGTTTCTGGAAACAGGCTGTCAGTTCCTGGCAAACTTGCCCGATCTTACTGGTAACTGCCTTTTATTCCTCCTCTGCAGCTGGTCACAAAAGGTTGAGGATCTGTGGTCAGAGGGATAATTTTGGGATGAGAACATAAATCCTGGAGCTAAACTAGGACATTCGACAAGCCACATTCTAATTTCCCAAGTAGTACCCGCTTGCTTGATCTGGGGTTCTTCCGTAATGGTCAACAAATCTTTGATTTCATATTGACACAATAGTAGAAAGGCAAATGAAATTGTCAGGTTGCTGGAATTTAACAACTCGCAATGGACATGAAATTTTCTTTATCAAAGAGAAAAACAAGCTTTTTTCAAACAACAGAGAATAGATGAAATGTACTCCAAAACTGAAGGCCTCGGGAATTTCTCTTTTATGTAACTCCTATTTAAGGAGTCAATCCCTATACCTAGAAGGGGAAACATAGAGTAACTTTTTCCTGGCATGAATGATTCTCAGTCCTGGCTGCTCAAAGAAATCACCCTGGAGCTAGAAAACAATCACGGGGTGTCTGGGTCTCATCCCCAGAGATTCTGTGTTCCTTTGTCTGGAGTGAAGCTTGAACATCAGCATTTGTAAAGCTGCTTCTGTGATTCTAATGTGCAGGGCTTGGGAACCACTTCCCTAGATGCTCTAAGTGGGTCCTAAACTCGTGTGGCTTCCGCCAGGCAAATGCCATCTATAATTTCAAAGAGAAAATCTACTCTGTTACATTTTTGAAGAGGCAGCATGTTCTGGGGAAGAAAGGATGAAGCTGGGAGTGAAGAGTTGCAGGTTCTGACTTTGAGCTTGTGGCTTAAGTTTTCTGGATCTAAATGTCCTTATTAGAAAAAGGATACCTTTGAACTAGGAGATTTCTAAGACTCCTTCCAACTTCAATATTCTCTGACTCTAGACCTCTGGTTCTTAACTATGTTAACAAATACAGATACCTTGACCTCACCTCTGACCCATTAATCTGATTGGTTGGGGGGGAGGCTATACATTGATATTTCTTTTCCTTCTTTCTTTCTTTCGAGAGGGGCACAGGGAGAGGGGGAGAATCTTAACCCGCAACCCCCCCCCACCCCCCCCCCCCCGGCGCCCCAGGCACAGGGTGGGGGGGGGAATCTTAACCCGCAACCCCCCCCCAACCCTCCCACCCCGGCTGCCCAGTGCGGAGCCCAAGGCGGGGCTCAATCTCACAACCCTGAGATCATGACCTGAGCCAAAATCGAGAGTTGGACGCTTAACTGATTGAGCCACCCTGGTGCCCTTACATCGATATTTTCCAAAGCTGCCCAGGTGATTCTAGGGTGTGGCCAGAATTGAGCATCACTGATGTGTGTTCTTTGTTGAGCCAAAGTCTTTTCAGATAGAAGCTGAGATCTGCACGTGTGTGTGTGTGTGTGTGTGTGTGTGTATAGTGTGTCATACATAAATCTGTACATAATGTGCTTGGGGGTGTAATGCCAGCTGAGAGAGTGGTGGGAATTCATATTCAGCCTCATATTAATTCAGGAACACAGAAGTAATGCAAACACATATGTCCATGCCGTCTTAATTAGTCCCTGCTGCTTGCTCTATTCACAAAGTGGAAGAAGTATTGCCAAATGTCTGGGATTCCAGCCCATTTGAATTCCCTGTTGGCTTCACAGGAATGAAAAAGCAGGTAAGATGGTCCGGAACAGAAATAACGCCCAACATTTCCACATAGCCTTGTAACTCATCTAGCACTTTACATATATGATATCACAGAATCCTTATGAGACTGAGATTAATTTTCTTAACTTTAGGGATAGAAAACCCAAGACTCTTAATCCAGTCCCCAAATACACAGGTAAAAAGTAGCGGATGCCAATATTCTAACCCAAACTTTGTGATGTCCTATTTTCTTTCCTTCATTTACCTCCTTTGTGCATCCACATTGACCTTGCCAAGCAGTCCTTAGGGGACCAAGCAGGGGGGTATGGTTGCATGGGTGAAATACACCGTTTCTTTGGGGGTTGAAGTGAAGAGAATGGGGTTGGTATTGTGGGTTTTTCCTCTCTATGCTGTACAGAGTCAAACCAAAGAGAAGATTGTGTTGTCTTTGAATGGGGCTGGTTAACCTTGGTCGGAGGAAGAGATGCAGGCCACGGGCCAGGTGTGCAATCAGTGTCAAGAGAAGAGATTAGATTAGAGTTCATTCTAGCCTTAACTGATGCCTTGATCCAGAGCAAAACAATCTCATTCTTCTGGACTTCTCCGTTTTAAAAGTCACTGATACTGTAACTAAAAAGATAATCTTCAAAGTAACCAGACAGAAAAAGCACATGTCCCAAAACATAAAGATTCTGTAGAATACAACCGAGCTATCAGGTTTGACCCACAGTTTCCGTAACTGACTTGAAGAGGCTCAAAAATGTCCAGAAGTTCTCAGATTTTTAAGCTATAATTTGAGCATCACCTATAGAAAGAAAGAAATCGCCATCCGGGGTAGAGTGTAATTAGAGAATTCTAATAATTCAGGCACTTCTAAAAGAAATTATTGCGAACATTTACATATAGTCATGTGATATAATCTAAATTCAGACTGATTCACATCGAAATAAAGCAGCAGAGGAGAATCTCAGGGAACCAGGCATTAAAGCATTTCATGGCGGGCAAAACAAATTTAGAAAACTGTGAAAAAATGAAGTGACATTCTTAACACATTTAGCATTTCACAAGAGGGAAGAGTTTGTGCCAACATGCCGTAATCTAGTTGAGACTACATTTGCCCTTTAGGACATATATTAAAATTCCAGGGCAAGCCATATGGAGAGAGGTTTGCAAAATTGTATACTGAAAGGTAGGCAGTGTACCTTATTCTCAAAAGGGTGTAATGCTTGCCACTTGGAAGGCTAAAATAGTAACAGAATCACCAATTCGTGTGAAATATATTTAACACCAAACATTTCCAACTCCTGAATAAAAGCAAATTAGTCTATTGAGGCTGGCTCATAAAAATCATTTTAGAGCTACAAAACAATTCTGAGGTTTTAGTCATAATAACACTTAGAGCTTCCTTGAGAAGGATCTGAAGACATCATATTAAAATATAATGAATAAGTCTAAGCTTCTCCACTAAACACTTGAAAATTAAGACTTACGAGAACGCCATGAAGGCCTGGTTTTATCCCTTCCTTCATCAACCTCCCTCCCCACCTTTTTCTATTTCAAAGGAATCCCTGAGGACAAAAAGTCATGAGGAAATACAGAAAGTATGAGGCTCAAGTTGTTTATTGTGAATGTCTCTTCAGTAAGCTAGATACCATATCACCAGTACAACTGTGATGCCCTACATTTATGAGGTCATTTTAATAATGACTGTGTATCCATTTCGTGTACCTGGTATCCTGAACTGGTATTGGCTAATTGTGTGGCTATCTAGAGGTCAGATAAGTTAAAGAGAAGAAAAGACTCAGAACAGATGTGAACTTCTCTTTGCCTCGTTAATGTAACTGACCTTGGAAGGCGGCAAGTGGCCCGAGTTTTTGAATCCTACAACTCATTTCGATCCCAGCTCTGCACTCACCAGCTGCCCATTTATAAATGGGAACAACAATGCCTACCTCATTGGACGGATATGAAGATTAAGCTGAGCTAATACATACTAAACTCCATGTATAGTGCTTTATGTAAGACAAATGCGTAATAACTATTATTTTTCACTTTCCTTCAATTTTGTCTCAATGACTTAGGTAATTCCTCTCTCATCATGATACAGTACTTCTTTTAGCTAGTGTAGATGTCAATCAAGAGTGTTTTAAATAGTTAGCATTCATATGTTCTCACTTTCGTTAGAAACAGGCCTGTGTTAATTCATCATATGGTATTTCTTTAGTTCTTATTGATAATAGTTGGTGTTCTGGGTAGTCCTTAATTCTATAGTAATTTTTTTAAAAGATTTGTTTATTTACTTGATAGAGGGGTGGGTAAGGGCAGGAGGACGAGAGAGAAACTCAAGCAGACTCCCTATTGAGTGTGAAGTCTGACACGATCTCACAACCCCAAGATCATGACCTCCCCCAGAATCAGGAGTTGGACACTCAACCCACTGAGATACCCAGGCACCCCATTTGTAGTAATATTTCCATTAATAAAAAATAATTCATTCTAATGAAATAGTTGATGTCAGAAATTTTGTGAGCAGAAGTAGAAATAATAAACAAACACAATATGGCTTCCCTTTTCACTTCCCAGTCTTGGTCATGATTCTCTCCTCCTCTGTGGGTTCGATGACATCTGACTTTAGTACAGGATGGGAAGACCCGATCATGTCTCTTGGGTGGTTCACCGCCCAGGGGCTTAGCATCTACCCCTGGATCTTGACTAAGTAGTTTCTTGACCCTTCTTGATAACCAGTTAACAGGACTCCAAAGGGTGATGGCTACTCCTCAGGTGGAACCAAGTTTCTGATCTTTCTAACCAGACTACCCATTTCACATGTGTGATATATTGAACTGGTGTTGGCTAGTTGGGTGGATATCTAGTTTTCTCTGAGGGCACCATCTTTTTTTTCACTGAAGGGAGCCCAAGCAGTGATGAGGAGGCCCAGCTTAGACCAGTTAGATAATTCTCAGTCAGAGGAGAGCTGTCACAGTGAGCACTGCATGACCACTATGAAAAACGTATTTATATATAAATGTACATTATTTTATATGTTGAAATTGTTAAAATTAGAAATGAAGAAGCATGTGACCTGTGGTGAAGACAAGCCATGTCACTCACCTGCCCAGGCTGTTCACAGGCTGTCTGGTACCTGGCCTGCTGGCACAATTCTTTGACTCTCTCATATTTGGGCAAGTGATTTGACTGTTGGATATTCTTGCTGGATTCTTCTTTCTTACGTAAAAACTTCCTTTGACAGAAAAGAAGAAGTTTCTGATGTGAGAAATGATCTGATTTACCCACCCAGTGTATTTTCCTTTTCTCTTTTTCTCCTCTGCAGCATGACTCCTCCATGTTCTTCAAATGGCGTGAAATAGATGATAAGACCTTGTCCATAGGAGCTCAACATTTGCTGACTCCTTTGTGAAAATTATAAGCCAGGTACTAGGAAGAATCGTTATCTCCCTAAAATATTAATTTCAAAATTTTGGGCATAAGTGTCTAGCTTTAGATTCATATAAATGCTTTTCTCTCAATATATGTACAGAAAAAAAAAGAGAGACAATGAGGATTATGAATCAAAAGGGGAAACCCAGAAGGGACTCTGGAAATGACAGTCTCATATGTGTACTTAAAACTAGGAAAGGCACTTACAGAAAGGAAGGAGAAAGGAGAGGGTGAGGCAGGACTTGGGAAGGAAGGAATGGACTGGTCCGATTCAGAACCGAGGTAGAAAAATGCAACAGTCAACACTTTGGTCCTGTTGTATGAGAACTTATGCTTTACAATTCTGATGCAACAATCATTACTGTGCTAGCCAGTGGAGAATGAGTAGCAAACCATTCAATCTTGTGACCAAGCTTACGAAATCTGCATGCTTAGTAAACTGGAATAAGGGGGAAAAATACTCAGCAGGGAGAGCTGCCCACTAGGCCTGGTTCCCAGAAGCACCCCAGGAACCAGTAATTACCCTCTTTCCACGAGGAACGTATCACGCCAAATTCTGGCTTTCTTGTTTGTTCGAAACCTGAAAGCAAAATAATAATATTTACTGTTGGTATCTGGACGTTTTTCCACATGCATCTGTGCTCACAGTTTATTTAAAGAAACACCTCTCGCTTCCCGCAGACCGCGACTGCCCCTCCATCAGTATGCTGTTCACAAACAGCCAAGACATTCTCAGCTTAGGGTGATTCTCATGGGCAAGACGTACTTGGCCTTCACTCCTTTCAGTGGCCAGCTGGCTCTGGGGGCTGAGGCGCTTGGGGCTGACTGAGGGAAAGCGAATGGACACACCTGTTACCTGGCTTTTCCAGATCCAGAAGTTTGAGGACGGACTTGCCATCCACATCGGAAGGAGTGTCGAGCCCAGCGATGTCCAAGATCGTCGGGGCCAGGTCAATGTTGAGAACAATCTGTGGGACTCTGCAAAGGGACAAGTGGTCACTCCTGGAACTAATGTCTGTGTGGGTGGCATGGAGGGCCACTTTCTCCACACCGATACTTCTTGGCCTTCAACCTTCTTCCCCCTACCTTAGTCTTTCACACATAAAACTGTTTCACCTAGGTCAGACAATTCTCAAAGTGTTTCCAGTGACCTGAAGAGATAAAATAACTTTCAAAGAAACCCTTTTACTACTATCGTCTTCTCCCAGATGTAGTGGCAGAGGAGGCACATGGAGGAGATTCAGAATATCCGGGTTCTGGGCCCCAATGCAGCCACTTCCAGAATCAGGGACTCTGAGAGGCACTGGTGCTGTGCCAAGCTTCTTCTGTGTTAGATCAGGAGTCTAGGCTGGGGAGTGCCTGCGTGGCTCAGTAGGTTAAGCGTCTGCCTTTAGCTCAGGTTGTGACCTCAGGGTCCTGGGATTGAGCCCCGCATGGGGCTCCTCGCTCAGTGGGGAGTCTGCTTGACCCTCTGCCCTCCTCTTTCTTCATGCTGGCATGCCCCCCTTCAAACAAATTAGTAAAATCTTAAAAGAAGAAGAAGGAGAAGGAGAAGAAAAAGAAGTAGTAGTCCTGGCTGGATGCTCCTTAAGGACCATTCCGGATTTGAAATTCCACTTGGATTCTTTTCTTTAACTCTTTCCATAACTTGTTTCATGTACGCAATCTTATTTTACACTGAACATTGTGATGTAGATGGCAGGGAACATAAAACCCATTTTGTAACAGGAAAAGAGAGATGCAGAGGGAGGCAGTGACATGTCTAATTTTTCCCAAATAATACTTGTCTACTTTTCCCAAGTAGCAGAAATAGAACGCTAGTCTTTCAGACCACTTTTTCTTCTAAAAGAAAATCATGCTTTTTAAAAATTTTATTTTCTTTAAAAATTTTTCTTTAGTAATAATTAAAAAAAAAAAAAACAACTAGAGGCAGGCACTGTTTCAGTTTTTGTTTCTGTTTTTAAAGACAGTGTATGTCTGATTCAAAGAAAGTACAGATATGTCCCTAACGATCCCATTCTATGTCTGTGAGCACAGGCCGTGAGATGTGGATTTTGGTCCATTTGGCAGAATTAGTCATTGATAGTTAATTTTCCTTTCTCTTTAAATAGCATACTTCAGTTAATTTAACATGTGGCAGGGGAAAAAAAACTAAGATTTTCATTTTCTAAATGGCCAACCTCCCCCTACCTACCCCCTTTTCTGTTTTGGGTGAAAAGAAACCAGACCCTGAGATTGATAATCGAATCATCTCAGATACACATAAGCCATGATAGCCAAATGTTGCAAGCAGAGAAATACGTACATGGATCCTGGTTCTACACTTGGACCACGAATAAAGAAAGGCACACGGATATCAAAGTCGTATGGCATGGATTTCCCCTTGACCAGTCCAAACTGGCCGATATGGTAACCGTGGTCAGCGGTGTAAATGATGTAAGTGTTCTCCAGCTCCCCTGTCTCCACGAGCATATTATACAGCTGAAATACAACGGAGACAAGATGGGCAAGATAACAAGAGTGTTGCCGTGATTTTCCCCGAAAGTCTTCCCCATTATTTGTTAAAGGCAAGTGTCACTTCAACAAGGCTGAGAAACATGATGACTATCTACATGTTCCAGTTGCTTACAATCCTGGAGGGAAAATGTCTAATAATAGAGTAATGTAACTTTTTTGAATCTGGCACATTGTTCTTCAAGCTTTTGTGCACCCATTAAAAAAAAAACAACAACAAAAACCAAACAACAAACTCTACAAACCAGTCCCTGCCACCTAACTTACAGGTTTTACTTCGAAAATCCACTGTTAAAGCAAAATTTATCATCACTCTTTCTCAAGGATTACGAAGAGGCTGCTTTGGAGCTTGAGCCAACTAAATCCAGCCTCTGGGCATGTTTTGTTTGGCTTCTGTTATTTTTTTAAATTCAGGAAATTTCAAATAAAATGTTTGTATTTCTGGTTTCCTTTGAAAAGTCAAAAGAACTTATGATACTGGATCTATTTTCCTACGCAGGAAAAATAAGCTGGAGCTGAGTAGTTGCTCCTTGTTACAGAGGTGGGCGTTTAAAGTGCTGCATAGTCCCCGCCATGCCCTATCGCTTTATACAAGACCAGCTTTAGGTATTTACATTATTTGCCTAATTCTTGAAGGTATTTGTGAGTGTAGCTCTTGACTTACGGTGTTTTGATTTTGTCCTTTCTTTGCTGCTGGCTCCAAAGAACCAAGCCTGGAGAGCTAGTAGAAGGGGTCAAGATAAGGGAGGGAAGATAATGTCACTCAACACACATGTACACATATTCACGCACACAGGCTCTCTCCCTGTCTTGAAAACACCTACGAGACGAAGACGGAATTAGGAAGAATGGATCTAAAAGGAAGCTGGACCAAAACCTGTCACTGAGGCAAGTTTGTGTACTTACCCTTTCCACAGAATCATCCACCGACATCAAAGTCTGAAGCCTTTTGCGATGTAGAATGTTTGTAAATTCCATATGGATGGGCAGCATGGGTCCCGTGTACTGCATAATCCAGTGCTTATCCATGTTTGGTGCATAGTTATAACTAGGGGTTCTGAAAATACCCAGAAAGGATTCTTACTATGTATAATTTTAGTCAGGTAGAGAAAAATCTCAAGTTGAAGGTTGTGAAGTAATCATTTAGGAAAGGTAATTTAGACATTGCTATTTTTGTCTCCCACGGGTCTTCTATGTTTATAAGAAGAGCTCAAAACTTCACTACCCCAAATATCACACATCCCCAAAAGGCATATGGATTCAAATTTATAAAACCTAGACGGGCAGCTAAAAAGGTAATTAGTGCAAGTTCATTTAATTCATTGAATAAAATGTGTAAAAAGACATCAGGATGATCATGTAAGATCTAAAGATAAAATTCTGTAACACACAAGGAGATGTTTTCATGGTGATGTTAACTCTATAAATGTTGTAGTTAATTAGGCTATTAGATATAGTCACAAAGATGTGGAATAATGTATTTTTTTCCTCTTGATTTTACTGGGCTATTATATTGATTACTTACATATGTAGTCTATGAGTTTTTCTCATTCCTAACCTTATATATAGATACCATTAATTTAATGGGCTGTGCTGGAATTAAAGCCAATCTATTTCTGCCATATACATGCTTATCCATAAAGCCATTCTTTTTATAGACAATTCAATACACATGCAGACACAATTTTTGTCAACTACAGGGAGGTGGGTCTTATTCCTCTTGAACATGCGGGTTCAAGCCTATATTTAATTTATTGCAGAAATCCAAGTGGTGTCTCATACATTTTATTGGAGACCCACAAAATATGTTGCCTTCTTTTTGAGATCTAACCCAAATCCCTTGACCATTAGATGCTGCTACCTCATCCTCCTGTGCCATCTTTTATATTACAAAACTGGAGAAATAGGGGCGCCTGGGTGGCTCAGTCAGTTAAGCGTCCGACTCTTGATTTAGGCTCAGGTCATGGTCTCAGTGTCCTTTTGTTTGGGATTCTTTCCCCCTCCCGTACCCTCCCCCCGCTGCTCCTCTCCCTTCTTGCTCTCTCTCTAAAATAAAAATAAATTTAAAATAAATAAATAAAATCTCAAAAAAAAAAAAAACCCCCAAACCCAAAACCGAAAAATCCTAGAGAAATAATCACTGTGAGCCGAGTGAATTCAGGAGCATTTACCATAAACTCTGCTGGTTTGCTCTAGCGCAAATTTCCCTTGGGGTGAACCTGGAATTTCTGAGCTACACAGTTGTTTACTGGGCTATTCCTATGCATGCTGAACAATATAAATGCTGCCTGTTGTTATACATTTTCAAAATCTCACTTTTGATAGTTGAAAGTGCTGTTTTGGGGTGTCTGGGTGGCTCAGTCAGTTAAGTGTCTGCCTTTGGCTCAGGTCATGATCTCGGGGTCCTGGGATCGAGTCCCACATCAGGCTTTTTGCTCAGTGGGGAGTCTGCTTCTGCCTCTTACTCTCCCTCTCTGTTCTCCCTCTCTGTCTCTCTCTCTCAAATAAATAAATAAAATCTTTTTTTTTTTTTTAAATGCTGTTTTGGTACCACTGAGCTTCTTGGATGCTAGTTAACTAGCAGAAGTACAACAGCACAAATACCAGCATAACAGTGAGCACAGAAGACACTATCCCTAAAATTGTATAAATTGTGCTCAGTAGTGTAAGTCAACTCCTTTTTAAAGGGGCAGATTTGCAGAGTAGGAAAAGCAAGTGTAGTTCACTTTGCTCATCTGTAAATGGGGATAATAGTACCTTTCTTAAAAAGCTCTTTTGAGGAACAACAGATCTATTTGTCTATCTCTATCTATCTAATCATTATCAATCATCTCTCTATCCATCTATCACCTATTTATTATCTATCTATCTATCTATCTATCTCTATATCTCTATATCACTTAAAAGTGCTAGTACAGAGGCACATGCATTTCCTACATGAGCCAATAAACATTCTATGTAAGTGTCTGGGTGGAAAAAATCCTGTTGCATTAAAAACCAAACAAGGTCTCCAGGTATCACCTGCTATTCTTTTTAAGAGAAACTTTCAACATAAACTTTCTTATGTTTACCCGGGAAATGACTCATGAACCACTTGTCCCGTGTTTTTGGCCTGAAAGAGTTCCTGATATCTAAAAGTGAACACGGGTGGAATCAGCCTCTTCAATCTCAGGGGCTCATGCAGTAGGAAAGGATGTAAACCCTGTTTCTTATTCTTCACGCAGCATGTCATGGTACAAACAGGATTAGATGGAGAGGCTGAGCAGGATGACAGAGGGGGCTTCTAAGCCCCATCCGAGAGGGATTTTCACCCTCAGGGGTGGCTAGAGGTCAGAAAAATAGAGCAAGTGGGTCATGAAAGGTTCCCTAACCATTTACTGATACGTGTCTCGAAAAAGAATAGGGCTATAAAAGATCACACGTTTCTTTATAATACCTAAACATCTTCCTCTTACTGCCTTTGATGTTGGTTTGCCTTAATTTTGAAATAAACAGAGTTGACTTTTTTAAAGCCACAAAACCTCAACACAAATAAAAATTAACAATAGGGAACCGAAACGAAGACTCGCAGCAGGCAAATTATATCTTCTACCAGCTACCTTGATGTGCTTGGCACAACTCCATCTCACTTTGAGGAATGGGGAAGGTTGCAGCAAATTACAAGCCTCCAATTGGACTCCCGGATTTACACAATGACATATGTTAAATCTGGCTTATATTAAAAAGGAGAGTTCAGGTCTGTTGTCAAAGATGTCCTTCCCTACCCCCAACTGCCTTTTTCTCCCCCTCCCCCTTTAATTTCTCCAAGTGGGAGCTGACCCCCAGCTCTGGAGCTGAAATCCCAGGTGGGATCTCAGCAGGGGGTAAGGAGTGCGGGGGGGGGGGGGGGGGGGGGGGGGGGGGGGGGGGGGGGGGGGGGGATGCATTTGCCTTTTAAAGGAAGACAGCCCGCCCCTGCTTCCCACCCACTGAACAGCAGCTGTTCGGGGACCTGCAGGTGGAAGGTCGGGGGTCGCTGGAATTGACAATGTTGCTGAAAAGTGATCTTTTGCCAAAGACCTGTGGTTGCCTCCTGCTGGGGTCTTCCAAATTCCTGGAAGATGCAGCCTTCTGTCCTCCAGTGATAAGTAAGGCTTGCTTCCCTAAGAACTGACTCACAATGACTCAAACAGGGCCTGGAGCCCTCAGCTGGAACAGCAGCCACTGAAAGGAGCAGGTAACTGTTTTGGGGAAAAGTGGAAAATCACAGTTCCGATTGTTCCAGAATGTTTGGGGATCAGACCTGAAATCTCATCCCAACTCTGTTACTTACGACCGCGTGATCTTGGCAACTTTTTTTTTTTTCCCTCTAAGACTCTGTTTCTCCATCTGTGTAATGGGCATAACGACTTCAGAGCTTTGTGAGGGTTTAAGGAGATTTCAGTGACTCCAGAGAACACATCCTGGGACCACATCACACTCGTTCTCATGGGTAGCTGGGAAAGATCGCATCATTTAATAGCTCTTTTGGTTGCTGTGGCAGGACAGGACACTTTATTCCCATTTCACAAATGAGAAAGTAAAGTGTACAGAGGTGGCTCAGAAATTCCTTCCCGGGGCCGGAGTTCCTCCCATGACGTCACAACGACCAGAGTCCTGCACCAGAGTCCCCAAGGAGCACCTCAAAATCCCTGTCATTCAAAGATCTGATACATGCATTCCTTTCTGCCAAAACTAAGTCCTAAAATCTTTAGCCTTCGTCCATTAGCCTTTCTGCTCCCCATTTAAGTACCTCCCACCAGCTGCCCAGTGTCTGCTTTTGCTGACAATACAAGATAAAGTCGGACCCTCCAAGGCAAACTGGATGCATCAACGAAAAGACATAACACTGGCTCTTTGCTTAAAAACTGAGAGGAGAGATGACTAAGTTGTCGTTTTTAAGTTTCTGTTGCTTTAAGGAAAAAAAAATCCACTTTGGGGTCACAGTCGCATGTGCCTGACCTGGTAAGACTCCTTCTTGTCTGTTCCAAGAAGGATTTTAACCAGTAATTCTGCATTCCAGGCCTTACACTCTCCCCCAAACCTAGACTATTCTCATAGTTAAAAATGTTAACCTTCCCCCCGTGAGGCTTCTCTGCACATTGCTTTTTCTTCGTGTTTGAATTTATTACTCTGCACTAGATCCTTTGACCTCACATTTGTGACTTCAACCTTTGCCGTCCATGCCGATTCTCTTTGGGCTTTGATTCCCTCTCCTCTGCTGCTTATTGGCATAACGAGAACACGAATCCTGAAAATCAGTAATGTCACCTTTCTTTTTGATAGGTGGGTATTTGGGGAGAATAATTCTCACTAGACGAGAAATGGTTTTAAGAAATGCATGTGTTGTGTATGAAATCCATATTCCAGGAATTGCAAAGAACTTAGCAGTTCATTTTTACTGCTGATGGCCTTTACTGTCACCCAGTGAAAAGAAAGACATTTCTAGCATTTCATATCTGCACGTGTGTTTTCTTCATTTGTTATTTAGTCTCGGACAACAACAAAAACTCTAATGATCTAACTCTTAAAGAGCACTGGTAGTGGGTCCGTCTTCATTCTGTGAGAAATGAAATAGGTTTCAATTCCCAGAATAAGCTAGTTATATAGATTTAAGACACTCACTCAAAGCATTAAATTGGAAATTCTATACTTAATCTCCCAGGCCACACCATCTCAGCTTTCACTCAAATTGAACTTATTTAATTGACTTTGTAGAGATATTCCCCACCTGAGTTCAAATGTCTTTAGGTAGGTAACATTTGAACGCACGCAGAATAATATCAAATGATCTTGATTATAGATACCGCAGGAAACTAATTTAAAAAGTCTTCTAAGATGCTGCAGACTTCAACAGAATTGTGCAAACCCACACATGGGAGCCACTTCTAATATTAACTGTAACTGTGACGAGTGCTGAGCAAAGCAGGGGAAGTACAAAGATTACCTGGGGCCAAGAGAATAGCTCCAGCTTTGTCCCTGTCTACTTACGTGACTTGGGCAGAGCCATTTGGGTCTTTTATTTTTTTGAAATAGAGT